AAAGGTGAAAACATTACACCAATAGCACGTTTCACATTCACTTTTAATACGCGGACAGAATTTGCTTCGTTGCTACATATCAGTGATCTTAAATAGCTTCACAAGAAGTATCACAGAAAAGGTAAACCTTAGCTGCTTAGAAGATATTCGACATTGGAAGCTTTTGAAATTGTTGCTTTATCACATTTGCTGCATAACGAAGAGCATTTGTTTGACGAGGTATATTATGCGAAGCGCGATCTTCTTAAAGTCAGATACAATTTAGTGCAATCCCGTCCTGTTCAAGGCAAACAACATTTGCTAACATCGATCTACAAAGCTTCGCACTCACGATAAGAGAGACACCACTGTTATTTTTAAAGGAACACGGTCCTACGATGCCTCCAGCCCGACGATTACACCACTTTCACTTTCTCACTGTCCCATGAATAATCGATCAATTGAATTTACACTAAAAACGGGAATTTCGCTTGTTCACTGAACTACAATACGATGATTACGACAGCCGCAAATTTTCAATGGCACAAGAAATCTTGTCTCAGCAAATAGTTACCTAACGCAGATAACGCAGATGTCTATCTCTGTATGACACTGACTGACAAAGTCAGTAGAGATATTTGAGATATAGAATATTTCAGTTGTAACCGAGTTTGTCATAATTGATAAAACTTTTTGAAATTTATTTTGGAATCAAAACTGCGAGACTGCTACAAGAGAATTATAAATTTTCAACTAACGCGCCAAAGACATCGTGCCAATGAAATTGAGTGTATCTGCACTCGTTTAGCTCCCCGAAAGCGTGGCTAATGCAGACAAGAAAACATGAAAAACAAGAAAGAGCACAAAAATCTCATAGGAAAAGAGAAAATACAAGCAAATAAACAAAAGTCTTGCTTTAGATGAAAATGTAAAAATTTTAAAAATAACTCAACAGTTGGACGTATGTGCTTCAGCTTTATTGACTCTCGCGAGTATACAAAAAGATATTAAGCCGCTGTTGCGGAGGATAACAGAATCACAGGTAAAATAAGCAAATCTCCGCACTTATATTTATAAAGATATTAAATATGCCATTAAAAGTTTTAGAGTAACTGAGCGCAATTTGCATAAAAGAGCTTTTCGTTAAAACAACTTATCTGTATTAATGGAAGTGTTCTTCAAATTTTAAAAATAAAATTTAATGAACATAATAATTAAAAAAAATTTGCTATACAGTCTTAAAGCTAAATGCTTAGTAATTTTTTATGTTATGTATAATACAGAAAAAACACTAAGATGTTTCTTTATTTTTTATATTACATTTATCTCCTATATATTTTATGTATTCTTAGTTGCACAGATAAGCTTCTGTTCTTTTCTATGAAAAATTAGAAATTTCTTCTGACTTCGGGCTATTTTCGAAAGCCAAAGAGTGTCCAGAGACGTTGCTTTCACCTGGTTGAAGAGATAATGCCCTTTTGTTAATTAAAGTGACAAAGCTTAATAAGGACGTTAGCGTGATATTTGAAAAATGTATATAATAACTGGACGCCATTTTAAAAGCGAAAAAAATCATTTCTTTGGAAAGAGATACGGGATTTAAACGGAAAATCTTCACAACGAGTAAAACAACTTAAGGGTTATCAGCGTTGAAAAGATTGCCTAAATTTTTGCACCTCATCATTTATGCAATCCGCACACATTCTATATTTCATTACAGGTGAAATTGTAATTATATTCGAATTTATATCTTTCCTATCTATCGCGTTTGTCTTAAGAGCAACTAAATGGAAAGAAAACAACATGCAAGTTTTTAATATGCATCATATAAAGTTTATCAATAATGAGTAAACAGTGAAAGTGCATCCATTTTATTACTCGCGAGCAAGAACTTGCAACACTCTTGCCAAATTTGAAGTCGACAGATCAATTTTTGCAAAGGGAAGAGCGCTTACCATCGATATTATACAGAAGGACAGAGGGACATTCTCAAATGAATTTCCAACTTGACATTGGCGAAAAATACATATGCTTTATGGCGTCTTTAGTGCCGCAAATGTTTTGACAAGGTCACAACTCCCACATCCTTCCGCGGAGGGTATAAAAATAAAATCAAAGTCTCTACGCATTATTAAAACAGAACTCATCCGCCTGAGTGGCCGAGTAGGCAAGAGTCTCGACTAGCAACTCAATGGTCGCGGGTTCAAATCTCAAGTGCGGTAGAGTTTTTAATAAAGCCGAAAGCCTTAGATGCTAGTGCTTTAAGACATTAGTCTTAGAATTTATTCTCTGGCTAAATTTCTAATAATAATAATAATAATAAAACAGAACTTACTTTCAATTAATGCATTTATTTTTCATCATTTGTAGTCCGTTCCTCTTTCTCTACACTACCTACATTGCACTCTAGAGGACTTTGCTCTATAGCATAGCGATCCACGAAACACCTTCACTTTTCGTCGAAATGGAATAAAGTTTTGCAAAGCCGTTCAATCAATCTGATAAAAAAAGGCACATAAAAAAGCTAAGTCAAGATAAAGGAAATTATTTCTTAATTGCCTGAATATCTTTGTCTTTATTAGATTTTATATAGCATAACGTGAGTAGCATTAGTACAAACATGCATTACTCATGCGTTTGTAGAAAGTGATATATACTTTAAATACATTGAACGTTAATTTGGCTGATAAGATGTACGAAGACAGCAGCAGGTTTAATCTGAACAAGAGAGAATGATTTGAAAATTTCAAAACATTGATAAGAGAACATATTCATATAAACTATTAAATAATGTTTTTTGTTGTTTACATGATGTGCAAAAATTAAACTTGAATGCAAGAATTTTAATCTAATTGGAATTATTGTATAAATATAGAAACAGGTTTAATAACGACAGGTTTATTCCGAAAATTTCAAATTCAAAGCCAAACAAATAATTATTTAATATTTACTATAATAAGCTCTTTATTTAATATTTAAAATTAACCAATGAAAATAAATAAAATTAATTCGTTGCAATTGATATCCTAAATAACACACATGTGTACACATTAAGTCAATTTTAAGCTTTGTACTGAGCGGTAAATAATCATGAATAATCATTATCAAACGCTCTGCGGAAATTGCTCCGACCTGAAGGTATTGCTGAAGGATTTGTGGCGCAATAAAGATCAATATTTGAGAACATACTCGTACGTGATGCTTACACCATACAAAGGTGAACGTAATTCTTAATTTTGGCTAAAGCGAATTTATAAAGAGCGAGTGGGCCACGGCCTACCCTTAAATACAACACATCACCCTACTGTTATTCATTTAAAGATTTTTCAAAATAAGGCGGTATATGGGAAATGTTCGAAATAGTGATCCGATCCGAACCAAAACACGATAGTGTATCAAATTCTATCAAAATATCTCAAAAATTGCAAACTATAGGTTGCACACAAAAAGGACAGATGGACAGACAAGCTCCAATGGAATCAGAATTTATAATAATAAGTACAATAAACGGCGGGTCTATAACAAATTCTTGTAAATGTTACACACATTCGCACAAACTTAATACTACAAGTTGTACAGGGTATAACAATTAGTGATTATAAGAATATTTTATATATCAAAAGCGATTGCGATTGCGATTGCGCTTATTTCTGATCAAAATTTTGTGATAACTGCTTTAATAAATTTTTTTTTTTAAATGTGAGGGCTAAGACGACTAAATAGTACACTTCGCGTTATACTATTCTTCACTCATTTTCATCATGGAATATCAAAAATTGTAGTTTACTGCTAAAAAAAAATAAATTTTTTATGTGAACGAGCCCAAAAAAAAAAACATATCGTATACCAAATTTAGTGCAGTCAATTACACACAGACGCATAAATATTTTATTTCAATTCTCTTCCCAAATCATCAAAACTTAGATCTTATCGTCATACAAAGGCCCAGGTGATTGACGAAATATAGCGGATCTCTCCTTTTTCCGCCTCCATTAAAACATTCTTTCACTATTCGAACATCTGTCTAAATTTCTGTAAGCCAAAGCCTTCTCAATTGAGCCTACGTCTAATATAAGATTTTGTAAACCCAAAAAGCCCAAATGGATATGCATTGCCTCATATTAAATCACCCAAATATTTCATAGACTTTTATATGAAAAATTTTTTTCAGCTCTTACGGAAAGATATATGCATTGAATAGTTACAAAGACATGTCGTGTAGATCACGCAAAATTTTATTGAGCTTTTTACGTTTTGAACATTATGATTGATTGTTTATTTCTGCAAACTTTTAATCCTTTGTTCATTTGATTTGCTTCAAATTTGCGAAATTTTAATCTCTAAATTCAAATTAAAACCTGAATGAATTTACGGCTCTGCTAAAGCTTTCAATTCTTCTCTCAAAGCGTAAAAAAAAAAAAAAAAAATACATTAAAAATAAAATCAGTATAAATGAAAAGCATATAAAAGCAAAAGATAGAAAGCAAAGAAAAAAAAAAACAGTAACGAATGAAATAAAACGAATGGAAAATATAAATAAATAAAAACCGAATCCCGGCTTTTCAAATATAAGAAGATTGCCTTAAAAACAAAACGTCACAACATCCAAATCCAGCCATATACATATAGAGGAAAAGGAATATAATTTAAAAAAAAAAAAAAAAAGAATTACAGAACAATAAAATAAAAATCGAAATAAATAAAATAAAAAGTTGAACAGCTTTAAAATTAAGCTTAAGTAAGCGACTCCAAGCGATCAGATTCATTCAGTGTGCACTGAGCCAGCAATACCTAAAGTAATAGCTCTTAAACAAAAAAAAAAATAAATAAATAAACATAAAAAAAAAATAAATAAATAAAACGAAAACTTGTATTGAAATAAAACGAATCGAATATTAAATCGTGACAAGAACTTTCAAGCGGAGGAAAGTATTCCGTTTCAAATAATTAAAATCATTTGTATAGAGTATCCAGGAATTTATGCAAAAAACGTAAAATATATTCTAGAAAGCAGAAGCAAAAGCAAAAAAAAAAAAAAAAAAAAAAAAAACAAATTGAAATTAAAACAAAAACTCTTATTATTCTGAGTTATAACTTACGTACGTGGATAGCATAGAATTGCTTCGGCTACGTGTATCCAGCAACAAATTTCATTGTACTCAGTTGCAAGAGAGTTGACTGCCAAAGCTTACAAATAATAAAAAAATAATAAAAAAAAAAATAAAGAAAAAAAAATACGCGTTTTTAAAGCAAGATTTTCATAATAATATTCATTATAATAATTTTGAGAAAAAAAGAATAAAAAGAATAACGAAAGACCATTAAGCATACAATTCTTTTCTCCCTTTTTTATTCCCTCCAACACATACTGAAAATGAACATGAAAATGCATTTATTCATTTTAATTACGTGTCTGGTATATGCAGCTTTTTCATCACCTCAGGTATGTATTACGTATTGTATTGTATATATGCAACAAGCAAGCTTTAGAAAACGTCTCTCAACGTCGCGCGCGCGTATGTTGCCGCTATGCTTTACAAGCACACAAATCCCAAATGCACTGAAATACATTTAAATGATCGTTAATTCGATTCTTCTACTCATTTTACTGAAACCGAAACCAGTATGTGTAGGTTCATCCATTTTATGATTTCGAAAGTAAATGTAAACAAAACTCATTTATGATTGGGGGATCGGATCAATTTTTTATACCCTACTAAAGTGCTCCAGGGGTTTGTGTTACTGGGATAGATTAAGTTTGTGCAACATCCAAAAGAACTTGGGCTAAACCAATCATTTGCTATACTACGCTTGTCCGTCCGTCCGTCTTGTTTTCTTTTTGCGTTCAGCCTAATTTATTTTTACATTAATTACTAATTGGTTGGCTTTATACGTAATAACGAAGCTAAAGCTGCTTTTAAAACACTTTAAATTTCGCAATTTTTATAGTGAAAGACCCGTTCATTTCTTGTAACCTACACCACAATAAACTGTTCTGGACTCTGGTGTTGTTTAGGCCCCTACTCTGTGGGGATTGTCTAACTCGCCAGGGGGCGTAGTACGCTTAAAAGTGGTTTGGGCCACCGTGGGGTTAAGCCTTACAGGCAGGAACCCACGTTAAACCCTTGCCACAAATTCTGTAACCTACACCACATGTGGTACGGTTTATGCGGGTGCATGCAACATCCAAAAGGACTTGGGATCGACCCAACCTTCATTATATCACGATAATAGACCCAGTTCACATTCTGAATCGATCTAAGCTCGTCTGTCCATCTGTTTTTCTTGTGTTCTTGTGTACAGCTCGAAATTTTTGACATATTTTGGAGAAATTTGATACCAAGGGCATCAACATCATTACGAATGGTTGGGATCTGGCCATATAGGACCTTTTTGTGAAAGATCGTTATATGAACATGGGTATTAAGTATTTTACGGTAGGGTATTTAATGCCGCACTATGGCGTTTTTGCTTGTTTTCAATATATTGTTTGGACCTTATTAGAACTTGTTACGAAAACAACGAACCCGCAGTTACGTTTCGTGCATGTGGCATGAAGGTCATATTTGGTTAAATGACTTCGTTAATAACTATTGTTACACCGTTTAGTACAAAGAAAACACATCTGATGTTTGTAAGGGACTTTTATGTGTACAAAAATAACTTTTGTGTGTGGTTTGTGGGCAGAAAATTTCACACAATCTGTGACTTCAACGTTCAATGTTGCAACGTGCTATACATTTCGTGATAAAATCAATTTATTGGGAAAAAAGTACAATGATCGCAAAATCTTCAAATATGCCTAAGTGAGCCTGCGAAAAAGGTCATCCGATAGAAGCATATTCCACATTTTACTTTGGCATTGTGTTCCAGGATCATTAACATTTTACAATCACTTATATGAAATCATTGTATCCTACATCACTTATGATACAAAGTATATGATAAGTTTATGACGGTGTATGTAAGGTACGGGAGGACTGGGGGTAGACCCACCTTTTATTATGCCGATCGATCCAGGAAGTAATTCTATCTAATTATCAGAAACTTGTCTGTCCGTCCAGTTCTCTTGTGTCCAACCTATACGCAGAGGTTTTGATAAAACTTGATAAGCCGACATGTTTTGACCCAAGGACGTGGGTGTTGGCCCGCCTATGTTTATAATGTTTTCACTTGTTTTCAAAGAAGTAAGAATTGCCAAAACGAATATCTGAAATAAAGAAAAAATTCACATTTATATCATTGAGCGTTTAGTGGTCATTAAAAATTGAAAAAAATACAACACTTATTTGATGCCCATATATCTATCATGAAACATGAAACTGCAACCAAAAACTGCAACCAAAAAAAAAGAAAAGCAAAGCTTCAAGGCAAACGTTTTTTTTGCAAAATTCGCTTCAAAAGTAGTGTTTCATGCTAATGAAACGAATAGTATTTGAAAGCAACATTACAATGATTTAAATACTTTTATCAATTCCTAACTGGAAGAAATTAGCATAAAACATTTAACATTTATTAAGGAAACATCATCCATTTTTATTGGCTGCAAGCGAAATGGCATAAGTAACTTATTTCTCTCGTTTGTGCTACGCGTAAGCTCGAGATTAATTAACAGTTTTTTTGCATGGCAGCAAAGTTAGAAGATAAACGTTACCTTCTCGATTACGACATATTCAACAATTGTTTTTTATGATTCTCAATTAGCTTAAGGATGCGAGTTTACATCCACCTAATGGTTATAACCACGCATGCAAAATTTCAATGAACTTAGAGCTTTGCATTTTCTTCAGTTTCATTTCCCAAACCAAGTCACGGTGTGAGCGGTCAAGTTTGATATTTAGCTTCAGCTTATTCAATAAAGCATCACCGGGTATTTCTCTACATGAGTTATGTGATTCAAAATGTATGCGATGAAAAAATATGGAATACATATATATTTCAAATCAATAAACCTTTGCTCTCGTTCGCCATCAAATGTCATACGTATGTATTTGTATGTACTGTACACAGATTGCTGGACTTTAAAAGATAAGTCTGCTTACGCGACTACAACTTCGTTAACTTTATAAGTACCAATCTCAGATACGGTAGCTAGTACTATATCAATCCGTGATGAGTCTGATTAAATAAGAAAAATATACCATTTTTTTTTGCAAAATTCTGCGTCATACGTAGCTATTCAAGGCTTTTCTAACATTTCGATGCCTTTTTTGTATAATAATTCATAATAAAAGCTTCCGTAGCCCCATAAATATAATAAATAAAAATCGCGGGGATTAAGTCGTAGAACCAAATCCCCGTACAGTTTGAAAACGGTTCATCGTATCCATAAGTTAACGGCTCAGGACGGCAAACGCATAAATTTATATCTATTAGGCACACATCCATTACGTTGCGGCCACCCCTTATTTCTTTTCCTTCCTATCTCTTCTGCACTCATCACCATATTACACGTATAGGGGGCATAGTCAAAACGATACGTTTTACTACAACTGAGTTTCCACAATTACCTCACCATTCAATCCATCGATTACTTTAAGATTTGCCAACAAACCTGCTGTTTAAAGCCTGCCGCTGCAGAGGTTGACTTATGTTTGTATGACAAAGAAATTCCTCATGCCTTAACCTCATATTGACGATGTCAGTTACCTCGTCGCACTATGCTTTTCGCTTGTCGAAAATTATATTCAGATTCTTTTTATGTTTTCTATTGGCCATTGTGTTCCGTACCATCAGTGTGCAACTGACTTCGTTTAAAATCAGCAAACAACTTGCAAATTGTTGTTTTCGACGGAGAAAAGTTGCGTTAACTCTTTCAGACAAAGCAGGCTTTTTCTAAAACTTAATCCATACACGAAATAAGGACATTGTGACAGATTGTCCCTGCATTTCCTAAAAAAATAATGGAAATGATTTGGATTCACATTTTCTAAAAATAGTATCGTTTTTTGTTAGAGGGAAAATCTATTTGCTAGTCCCGGGAATTATTGACCGATATGTTAAATGACTATACTAGACTCCCACAAAACCGGCTAGATAAGAAAGATGAGTACCAAGCCGATTTTCGCGGAATTAACATAGATTGCGGTTTGACACTACATGATCATAGCTGTAGTGAGCTTAGGCTTAGTCGCTAAAGGAACTAACACCTAGCGATTTAGCATACGTCCACAATAAAAAAATTCAAAATTTCAGAGTTTTCATTATTTTCTATATACAAATAAACTTTTGAATTAATAATTCGCATACAGAATATCAAATTCTGGGTAAATTTTAGAACACCCTTTAAAACAGATGAACTTATCAGTGGAATACTTCCAGCATGAATTGTAAGGATGTAGTGAAATGTTATAGATCACCGTGATCTACGAAAATTTTTTAAATGAATTTGAGTCCAATCGAATTGTGTTCGCCTGGGACCGACATTCACATACCCACCAGCATTATAATCTTTGGCATGCCATGTTTTTATTTATTGTCATAAAAAGTGAGTGGGATGGATGAAATCTTATAGTTCACTTCAAGGTGTTCTTAAAAAAATATAATCCAAGCCAAGTCGTGACGTCCACCATAATTAATTTAGAATTAACGTTCGCGTTGCATTCTCCAGGCCCTTTTATTTGATACCCATACAGACGGTATTTTTCAGTAAAAATGTATTCACCAGGAGGAAAGATCGTATTTTTAGGCGGATAATATCTTCATTTAAGAAATGAACAAAAGCATTTTAAACATTCTGTCTTGTTTGGAAAGAAATTTCACACTGATCAAGAACATATATAATTTATAGGGCATCTGGGTGTTGCAAACATTATGACAAAATGAGTATACCCCATACTTCGGTAGTAGGTATAAAAATAAACCGCATTTCGAACAGGTTGAAATTTTTCTAATCTATTAAACGAAGCACAATACTATGAACAAGATAATCTGAAAGCAATCTTTCTTTTTATTATTATTATTATTGTTATTATTTGCTCGAGTAAAAAATGTGTTGATGTGAGAATAATTATAAGTATTAAAGAAGTTTATATGAATAAAAAGAATTCATATATTTATTTAAAAATGACTCATATTGCACAATAATAATTATCATACATGCTGTAGGAAAAATACTGTAATTTTGTAGAAATTAAATAAACTCATTAAGAATCCGGTCGTTTTTTATAGTATTTAGCGCACATATCTTATGACTAAATTAACGGTTGATTAAATTACTTTATATATTAAAAAGAAATTATAATGTGTTTATAATAACCAGTTTCCTTATAATTTCACCTTTTGCCATTTTGCCCATTGCTGCTTTTTTGTTCATCTATTCGCTAAACCCCTAACACGTGGCATTAAACTTTCTCAAATATTTACTACGCACAGAAGAAGAATGCATCGGAGATTTCGAGCCAGAACAGAACTGGAGAACAGTTTCTTGTCCGTTTTTATACCCTACACGACTTATGGGTCAAAGATATTCAGGGAATCCCCTTCAAAATTGATTTAAACTAATCTGTCCGTGTGTCCGTCTTTCCTTTTTCTATTTTTGTATTCTACCTACAGGTAGCTACAGCGCCAAGCACTACCTGCTTACAACAACTTCCAGTCTATTTGCCAATTTTGAAAGCGATATGTTCATTTTTGCGAAATGGGCGACTATTTACCACAGATATTCCACAAATTGGCAAAAGAGCCAACCAATATGCTTAGATTGATTCTGAATGTGATAATGGTCAAGAATATATATAATTATATATATAATTTATGAGATCTCTGAAGCTTTGACAAAGAAATGAAATTTTAATGTACTATACCTATGGGTTCGCGTGAGCAATATTTATCATTTTTTATGGGCATGGTATAGGATTACCCACAGAGTACAAATTTTTGCAATATACAGAAAACTAATTTCTGTTTCTTTCGAAAGCAGCGGTACTGCAGGCATGTTCCTTGACCAATTTTGCTCATTTTCAATACTAACCCTAATGCCAGCTCCAAACGCTAAATTTTAAGCCGGTAGCCCCATTTTCGCGAAGAAGAAGTGGAAAGATTTTGGCAGATTTTCTTTTAAGCGATTAGTTTCATTTGTGAGACGAGGAGCTTGTTTACCACAAACATTGTAGCGACTGCCCGACAGACGTGATTAAATAAAATCAAAATTGGACTCTGATCACAGATGTACATATTTTATAGAGTGTCTGAAGTCTCCTTCTCAGTTTTGATATAATGTTAAACACCTTTGATAATAAGAATAAAATTTGAGTTTTTTTCTATTTTGGTTTTCATGTCTGTAATAAATTTGAATCCTATTCTTAATTGCTGCGCAATTGCCCATAAATTATTTTTATACCTTTCCAATAGCAAGTTAAATCATTAGACTGCATTTGATAATTATTTTGTGGATATCAATAAATTTGTCACACAGTGGCGTAGTGCGGGCAAAAGCAAAGTGAAAAAAGGGCAGAGTGTATGTTGCAATAGAATACTAAATAAAATACGTTGGGTCCAGAATTCATTTTTAACTTCTTAAAAGAAAGTTTCTGTAACACCAGACTTGACTATAAATGAAAGGTGTGAAGTTTGAATGGAAGGCAAGAAGCGAGTAAAATATGTAATTCGTGTATATCTACAAAGGAACAGAAAGTGTGCAATTTATCCAACTTTTGACAATCCTGGCAAACGTATCTACCGATCGATATCTGTTTTTTTCCTCTGTTCGATTTTTGCGGCTTAAGTGAATAGCGTCAACAACAGGAGCAGAGCAGCAAGCATCATTTCCAATATTAATCTTAGAATGCTGTTCTGAGCTATGCTGCCACAATTTTCACCGAAAATAAAGAGCACGACAGACGGACGTTAAAAATGGATAAATTAACTCCGAATCTCACGTTTAATGAATTCATAATTTTCAACCCCTTATCTCGGTGCGTTCCTGCCAGAGCTACACAATTAGTATGCGTTCTGCCTTTGGTGGAATGTGTAATAAATAAAGGAAAATAATAATGATACTATAACCGTTTATGACCAATAAATTAGTATTAGTTTAGAAATAACGGTTAGCTAATAATTATTAACAGGCTGTGGTGGATAATGATTAACTCAACGCAATGAAAGCGGATTACGAATCAAACTTAAAATATACGTAATCATCTACATACGAACACACACCTATATTTCATATTACATTAATTCGAAAAAAGTTTCCACTACAAATATATTATCAAAGGAAATTCACATATTAAGCTTTACATATATCACAAATATTGGCAAATTGGGCTTTAAAAAATGTAAAAATTAAATGTAAATGA